CGCACACACCTTTTTGTCCAAAAGATTTCTCAAGTCAACTGGGGAAAGTTTTGGATCGGACACGCTATCCGACTGGTGTATGCAAAGGGATTTCGGTCGGCTTGATTGGTTACATGCTTCCAATCCAGACCAGAGCTTTCCTTTGTTAGTTTCCAGACTGCCTCTTGCTTGCAGCTCCTACGACATACCCCACTGTGACAACCGAGCTGGAAGGACAATGGAAGATTTTGGCACACCAAGGAGCCACGGGGTGTTAAACACCAGTCGAGAGGCATCGTCTGCCGGGTTGCTGGCGCTAGGGACCCTTGCGAACCAAGGAAGGATACCGGTATCCTTTTCAAGTTTCACAAACTCAGCAATAAGGACTTGTGACAACTCAGTCGATCCATCCGCTCGGATCAAAGCGCTCCTTGCTGCATCGTTGTCCAAGTAAAATACTACCTGAGAATTGCTTAATTGTTTTTTCCAAGTTCGGAGGGCAACCAGGACAGGGAAGATCTCTAGTTCGTAGATTGGGTGCTGGCTCTTGGCCAAAAACTCTTCTCTTAAACTGTCGTCAATCTCCAGTCCAAAGCATTCAACCACCAGGCCATTCTCGTCCACCAAGACACCGCCAATTGATGCTTTAACCGTGCCATCTGGTTCGTAAGCACCGTCAGTGAAAACCATCCAAGTTTTTGAGATTGCCTCGTGCACGAGGACAGGCTCATCCTTCGCAAGCTCAGCTCGGAGAATCACAAGAGCATCTCTCAGAGTTCCGTGCACTTTCACCATGTTTGAAGAGGATCTAGAAAACTTTGAAATCACACTCACCGCTGCTTTCAGGGTGCGACCGAAGACAAAAGCGTTGAACCAAACAAGACGTCCATGCAACCTTTCAAGTTCTTTGGCGCTGACCAAAGTGTCACGTCCTTCGATCATAGTCTCAATCTGTTCAAGCAATTCTCGTCTTCTCGAGTCTGTGTGGCCCAAGGTGAAGTATCCTTCATCAACCCTGTTCAAGTCAAACTGCAAACCCAAGGATTTGAAAACTTGATTGAAAGGCGGGGCTTTGTCGCCCTCTGACGCGAAGTCAATCCCCAACAGCCTGAAAAGTGCCTCAACGTAGAACTGGGTGTTGTCCGACAGTGACATCGGCGACACTGCAGTGAAGTCGTCAAAGAAGCTTGACCAACATATGTGAAGTCCATTGGTGCCTATGAAGGCTAGGGATGCCGCCACTCGCAGGAAAGCAACCACACTGCCTGTGGCTCCAAAAGGTAAAGCCAAGACATCAAAGAAACGCACTGCGTCAGGCCCCGCTTTTAAAGCTATTTTCAAGCGTTTGGTGTCTTCCTCACTGACCCCAAATTGTTTATACGCCGCCTTCAAGTCGAACGTGCGGCCGACCCACGGCAGTCTCATGGTGCCCTGACCCGATCGCATCATCGCCAGCAAGATGGCCACAACTTGGTCGACTGATTCGACCCTGAGCTTCTCAGGCAGTCCAACAGTGGAGTTGACACCACACACCGAGAAGTCGTCGATCAACCTCATCTTGCTTTTTTGTTGAATTGGAAAGCGTTTTGCTATGAACTGACCCTTCATGTCAACATCTTTGCATTCAGCCAACCAACCTTTGTCAACCTCGGAAAAAGTCTCCTCCAAGGCATCAGCATCCCATGGAGTCCAAGGTCCTTTCGTCAACGCTCCCACAACTGCAGAGTTCAAACCAAGCGCAATACCCTCCAATTGCTGAACCGTCATCGAGGCTGCTCTGACATGTTTGTCAAACACACCAGTTGCAGGTGCCCACCCTGTCAAAGAAAAGCCTTCTATGATGTCGTCAACAATCTTTGCATCACCATAGCCCAAGCTGACTAGAATGTGCTTCCACAAGAGTAACTTTTTGCGACAAAGGATTTGTTTCAAGTGTTGAGGGAGCTTGTCATGCAAGGCACTCTCTTCAGATTTCAGCTCTGCTGCTTTTTTCAGCCAACCTTTGAACACTGCCGCCCTGTGCGCAAGGAGCTGGTGTTGTGGCCATTCAAGGTTGGCCTTAATTGCTTGATCCACATCCATTGAAGTCCTGACCAAATGACCTCGAGGATGTCCAACCAACCGGGCTGCTTCCAGGAACTCAGTTGGAGTTCTGGGGACGCCAACCATGACCACTTCGTAGTCTTGTCCATGTTTCAAGTCTTTGTGCACTATGACTTTGCCATGGTTATTTGCTTTGAAGACATCCCTGGAGAACCCCCGCTGAACTGTACGGGATGTGGGCTTGGAGCCCTTTTGCAAATAAGCTATGATTGTATGCAGATCATCGCAATTGATGGGGATGGCCACTGCCACAAAATGACCAAACTCCGACACCGGCTGCAGGATGGTCTTGGTCCTGGGTTGGCCGGTGAACAACTGTCGTTTGCCTGCGTCAGAATCTGCTGTTGTTTGCTCCACCAGATCTTTGGGTCCCTCAAGGTTTCTAACCCTTGCCCAGTATAAGAAGATTGATGCCAACCGCTCGCACAACGTGGTTGGATATGCCGCTTCTTCCTTTGTGGGAAATGAGACCACACCATCCACAATAGATGGCTTCCAAGATTTGTGTGTGTGGCTTCCATCACATTTCAAGGCCAGTGATTCAAGCATGTTTTCAGATGGTCTCCATGGATTGTACGACCAAAACCGAGAGGCTTTGTCACGGGCACCACCATGCATGCAGTGATCTAGGAAAGTGTCATGGCCATCATGAAAACGCTGCAGAAGCTTTTGTATCCAGCTGGTCTTCCAGAAAAGGGACTTTGCAGGGTTCTCTATGGAAACTGAAAAGTTCCACCCGATTAAGAGTAACAAGATGTCTGCCGTGGCCTTGTAAGAAGCATTTGCACTGTCAACTCGGGCCTGTTCCTTCTCCGACAGGTTGGGTAAACCATCTGGATAATCATCACTGCGCAAGGGTTGAGGTTGCAAATGCAGTGGCATACCTGGCACCTTTCTTCCACGGGCTCTGGATGCTGTGCCGCAACTGGGTGCGCAATGTGCATGTATTATGGATTCCCTCTCTGCATGCAAAACTTCAACCAAGGTGCTGTATTGCTGTGGATCCGACAAGTCATAATTTGCCACCGCACAACTCTCCGCACGCTTGGGGTCCTTGTCTATTGGCAAGGCTCGTAGTCCGAGTTTCCGGCAGGCTTTACTGAGTCTGCAGGATCCAGAAAAAATTTCGACAACCAAACCAACATCCTCATGCCGTCTGCAGTTGACTGAATTTGGAGAAAAATCGGGGTTGTTCGCGCCCCCTGTACATTCACTATCAAAACTGGCGCCTGATGCATTTTCGTTGTCACCACCAAGAGGCGCACTTGTGATGACATCTTCGACCTGTCAAGAACCTGCATTAGCATGGCAAGCTGCAGCTCCATGCTTGGGTTTGAGGCAGCGCATGCATGTATGGAAACCGAACTTGCACCGTCCGTTCTTGATCTGGTTGTTGCATCCCTTACTCAAGTTAAAATGCCAACACATTGGCTTTCCATCAGCAGTTCTGAGCTTGAGGCCCTTGAGTTCCTCCGGGATCTTTGCTGGCTCACGATCATTGAAACGAGGTTTCTTTGGTGGTTGCCCTTTTGGTCCACCAGCAGTCTGTTCATTTTCCCGTTTGGTTCCTTTCAACTGCGGATTTTGAGCTGGTTGGTGAACGCGGGGCATTGCAATGAGATGCACATTGACTCTTGGATCATGCATCAAACGTGTGAAAATGTCATCCAAAGGTGGAGCCTTCCCCTTGTCGGCAATGAGACTGCCACTGTATTCAGAGGCCATGAGAGTAAAAATCTCCCTGTCTGCTTTCAAAATTTGGGTGAGGCCCAGGCTGGATGCCGCATGCGGTGGTTCTTGAATCAGGGAACCCATCAGCTTGTCCAGCCACACCTGACACGGTTGCCAAGACAACAAGTGCACAATCTCAAATGCCAGATGTCTGCGTTGCAATGCGAAAAACAAACGCAACTCCGTAGAAGTGTCCACGTCTGACATGGAGCTCGTGGTCGCCGACTTCAATGATCCCTGTTCTAGGGTGATGATTTGCTTTGACTTCTGTTTTGACTCCGCCTGAATCTCCATTTCACGTGAATGACATTTTGATGGCCCAATGTAAGTGAGTGCTCCTGTCTCTACAATATGGAAGGCCAAATCGATGAGGCTGTGAGCAGGCTGTTGATCGGGCTTGTGCAACAGCCCTGTGATTCTCTTTTTCTGTGCCTCAAGCCTCGTTTGTTTTTCTACGAAAGGCAGTTTCTTCAGAGGCTCCGACGAATCTGTGTTCAGGGCGTTCGTCTTCATGTCATTGAGAAGATACGTGCAAGATTCAAAGTGCAGTCTTCTAACAGTCGCCACATCACCCAAACCTGGTGTACCATAAATTGATTCAGCAAGCTTTGTGATCTCCGCATCTGAAACTTGGCTCTGTGGAGACCCTACTGAAAACGCAAACGTTGAAAAAGTTGTCAAACTTTGCGCCTCGGCTTTGTCAGCTAGGCCAGCCTGCAACTGTTCGCAACGCTTCCTGAAAGCGCTCTCTGAATCCACCAGGGCCATGTCGCCAGGTTCTACAGTGGTGCGATGAAAACAAAATTGCAAGTGGTTTTCAAATGACACGTCGTGCCAGTAAGAAGGTCCAATTGGAGCCAATGTACACTATAAAGGACACTTAAACAAGAGGGAGTGCAAAAAGAAAGTGCAATGTGGTTGACAAACATCTGAATTGCAATGTGTACACGAACATGCGTGAACGTGTTCCCACCGAATGGTGAAGCTTTGAGCACCACGCCACACACATGCTCTCTGAAGTGGTATACAACCACTGGTCCTCTGAGGATTGAGGATACAAAGGAAACAATACGTGTCTCCAAAGTTTGCAAGACCTGGCATGTTCGGTCTTTTACATTAATGACCACACAGGCCTTTCGTGAACCATGTTTTCACAGCCACAGCAAGACGTGCTGCGGACCACTTTTTTATACCAGCTGAAGTCGGACGCTCAATTTCAAGGCTGCACAAGCCTGGAGCCCAACTTTGTCCGGGCAGCTTTCCAGCAAATGGAACAGCAAGGTGAGTCCCACCTGACATGTACTGGTGGCTTGTGAGCGTTCCCCCTTTGTCGGCCACACATGAAAATCTTCTGATATCCCTCGGCCAGCAGGTGCAACATCTTTGATTTTTCATGTTGTATCAAAGTTGTGCCAACTGGAGCGGTGGGGCATTTCACCAACCTGGCAGCTCGCACAAGGTTGCTTGCCTCCTCGTCAGAAGAAGAGTCTGTATCGCTGTCTCCATCAGTGCTTGAGTCGGAATCCACTGACAGAGCTTCGTTAGGCCTGTCTGCCACTGAGATGACACCAGCAGCCCCATCAGGCGCCACTTGTCCAGCTATCTCGCAATCTTCGATTTTGCAAGCATCATTGAACCTTCCAGACCTGGATGCGTCTGGACAAAACTTGTTCTGCCTGATCGACAGCAGCACCTTCTCCAACTCACGCAGCGGTCCCGCCAAGCCATCCCTGCTGTAAGTCAGGACACTCTTGAGGTGACTCACATGTCCCCCCAAGATCTCCCTCGTTGTGATGTCGCACCCAAACTTCGCCATGTACGAGATGGTACTCTTGCATGAGTGTGATGTAATCTTTCTGCTTGTCAGGTCGGCCCCATGCCTTTCAAGCAACATTCTGACCCACTTCCCCATCTCATCCGAGGTTATGGGACGCTTTGTGGGTTGATGATCACCGCCAGGGGCAGGCATGACTGGGAAACCTGCTGAAATTTCACCACCAATGCAATCTCTCACAACGAGCCAAGTTCTGCCCCAGTTGTCTGAGGTGACCCCATGTGCTACTGCAACGGCTGGTAAGAAACCTTCCACCCATGCATTTGCCCTCTTTGTCTTGTGCTCTTTGACGGTGAATTCAATGAAGCAAGGGTCCCATTGATTTGGGTCTGACAACATGGCTTCGGAGTGTTGCAAATCGCTCCAACGACTCCTGCTGTAAACTGCACACAAAGTTGCACCTGCCATCATCCTATCCCAGATGTCCTCGTCCTCTGAAACCAGGACGTTGTGTAGGATCTTGAGTTCATTCACCGTGAATGGAGAGGCCTGTCTTCGGGGTCCAATTGATTGAAACTTTGAGGCCCCCAAAACTCTTTTGGAGAGAAGTTCCGCGCTGAGTTGTGACACTCCCAGTACATGCTCTGTAAACCTCAATGCCTCCACAACTGCTACGCTACACTAAGTAATGGTAAGATGAAAGGGGGGACCAGTAAAGTTGGAAACTTACGCGGTACCAACGCGAAGCGCCAACAAACAACGCGCCGTGAAATGAAACACCAACGACCAACTGCAGACATCCCGAACTGTAATTGCAATTGACATGAACTGACATCCAAGTGAATCAAAATGAAAACTGCCGACAACTGATCACATATGACAAGGTTGACTCAACCTCTCTCAAACGGTTCTCTCACCTTTTTGCAGCCAGTGGTGATGTCTCACGCACATCCCTCTAAGAGGTGGAGACTCGAACCAGTGGAGCCCATTGAAATGTCGTGCACACAGCACGTTGTATCCAACGCCCAAGTCAAAACTGTTCCGTTGTAAAGCATCCAGAAAACTTTCATCGCAATCCAGTCCAAAGAAAAATAATGTGAGTCCATTGAACTCCTGAAGCTCCCCCCCATCTTTAGAGGAGTGAGATGGGCCGTGATCGTACCTGACCGTTACCAAGGGGTCTTGTCAAACTTCTTCGGCCTGACTTTCGGGGCACGCACGGCCAACTCTTTGGCCTTAGCCTTTTCGAGAACAAAGGACTCCCTTGTTTGAACCAAATCATCCAACACTCCAAATTGTAAATCGTCCCAGCACGCAACAATCCTGAGACTTTCATCAAAACCTGTGAAATCCTCATTTGTTAATTGGTCTGCTTCAACATTCTCCTCTCTAGGCCTCCACCTCAATCCCAAACTCAACCTCGATCGCGACAAAGAGGACGATAGCTGCATATTGATGCCCATCAATGGCCACTTCGTAGTGGAACGCTTCTCTGTGAGCGACTCATTTGCGCGGTTGTCAGTCCCCCCAAAAAGGGAGACCTCAATATCCCTTCTCTCTCTCTGTTCTTCCAACCAACCAAACAAATGAAGGGCTGTAAGTGATGCTAATAACTCTGCTGACGTCGATGCCCATTGTGATCCACCGCCGGGTTTGAAGAGGTAAGGAACTTCCTTAGGACCCAGCCTCAAAGCGAACCATCTCCTCGTCTTCAGCTCCCAACCTGCCAACACCACAAATGTATCAGTGCACTTTGCATCAGTCCTGAACTGGTCTTCAAGGAACCGCACTGGCCTCTTGGCGGACACTAAAAAGGTTTCTCTCAAGAACTCATTGTGGAGATAGTGCAACGTGATGATCACTGTCTCTGGCAAACGACACACTGTTCCAGCCGCTGTCACAGCCGCCCATGAAAACAACGGGGCTAGGTGAGGTTTCACCCATGTCAACAACTGGGCGATGAACCCAAGCCTCCCCAAGAACTCTGAAAAGTCACGGGCCTGCACCACATAGTTGTTCTGTCGTGCTTTGACCACCCATTGCACGATCCAGTCACCGCGCTTCGGGGATATTCCCACTTCTGTCAAATCATACCTGATCTGAAAGCCAACAAACTCTGAAGAGAACCCCCCTTTGAATTTGTGATACCCAAACGGGACTCCCGTCATCTCAAAAGCCAGCAACCAGGTCCATAGCCAGAGGAACTTCCTCTCTCCAGTGAATACCCCATGGAGGTCGTCAACGTAAATCATGTGCATGAACCACCGTTGATGAAATAAGAAACCAACAAACCTCCCAATTAACCCTGCCAGTTTGAACCACCAATAAGGTGCACTTGAAATTCCAAAGGTTCCAGTCCTGTTGACCCAAATTGTCTCTGAATGGGAGTCCGCTTTGCAGCACATGTACCCCCAGTCAGAATTTCTCACCTTGACCAGCCTGTGAGCCGCTCGGATATCTGCACTTACGCAAAATGGTGCTTCTTGAGTTTCTGCAGTTTCCCTCACCACTGAAGCGATCTCTGCAGGGCCAGGGCAGTCGATCTTGTCACGGTACTTGATGGCATGGTTGACCATCACAGAATGCGTTGCGTCGTGAAGGGGACGAACTGTCCCGTCAGGTTTCTGTATGGCCGCCATTGCTGCTACTCTGACCTTGTCTCCATACTGTTGTCGCAACACCCCCAGCTTGGAAGGATGCATCCTCCCCAATGCCTCCTCCTCATGAAATTTCTCTTCAAGCTCCTTTGAGGAGATCTGGGCAGAAGGATAGTTTTGAGCAATGGCAGCAAACTCTGTATCATCAAGGCGCCGATGCTTCAACTTAGGCCGACAAACCTGCGGTGATCTCGGCAACGGCTTTTCCACCCCCAAGCAAACGCCTGTTGAGAAAGAGTCCTCCTCATCCACCAACCACTTGCCATCAGGGTCATCAAAAACTCTAAGCCACTGTGAAAGAGCCCTAAGGAAAAATGGCTGTCCATCATCCCTGATTGCAGCATCTAATGGGTCTGCCAGTAGAGAAAACCACTTTGACCGCACTCCAGCCAAAAGTTCATCAGAAAAAGGTGACCCATCCAACTTCCCCGTAACCAGCCTAAATGCTTCCTTGCGCACGTCAGGAATTGCTGCTGTCACTGCTTCCTCCAGGATGGAAAATGTTCTGTCTGCCAGCTGTTTCATCACATCAGACCTGTGGACACCTCTCTGAGACGGCTTCCAACGCGTTGGGCTGCATAAGCCAAAACCATCAGTGAACTCCTTCTGAGTCCTGTCCCACTCAACTGAAATGGGTCTGCCCGCATTTCCACATGCAGCCATGTCAAATTGAACCTCGTCTGCATTGTCCGTCACCCCATCGTCCACCTGTTGATCAATTGTGTCCCCAGTGTTATTGTCAGTTGTTGTATGCTCCTCTTCAGAGTCCAAATCAATGACACTCCCCCAAAAACTGTTGTCGCCAGATCCAACCCCAGGGACTCCCTGTGTCGTAGAGCTGTTGGTCCTCTTGTGGCATCTGTCATCCTTTGCAAATGGTTGTAAACCAGAATCAGGGACTCCCTGGATTGCAGAAGAATTGGGCCTCTTGGCGGGTGGTTGTGAAGTACCTGCAGAATTGTCTGTTGCAGAATTGTCTGTTGCCCTCTTTTTGGATTTGTCCGCTACGCCCCCACCGCAGGATGCGAGAGCATGAAGGATCAAATCAGCAATAAATTGACAAAGCCTTGCTGGATATGCCGCACTTGGACTTGTGTTCCACTGTGACGCAGTCCTACCAATCAGCTTGTGGGTGTGCACATGGCCGCACTGTTTTGGGAGCGGTCCCTTGTAATATCCAAACTTGTCAAACTTTGGCAAGGCAATAAAACATCTGTCATCCCGAACCTCCATGTTGGTCATGAAACGTGTAGGTTTGGGGGTCGGCGCACCAAATTTGCACTGATGAACTGCAAATGAAGTTGCATCGCATGCTGGGATAAGTTCCAGCACCTCAGGCCACTGCCATATCGACCCAGGCTGTTCACCTTCGACAGTGCCAAGGTCCTCAGGATGTTCCAAAATGAAGTGTCCTTTCGCCTCAGCAGCAATGTGACATGCCTTAATGCATCTGTCAACAAAAGTGTTGGCCTCGTCGACCTTTGATCTGTTTGCAGCACTCAGCCAAGGAAAACCACGTGGCCAAGTCCGTGTCCTAAGAGGTTTCGGACCCGGATGCTGCCTGAACTGAAATCGCGCCCTGCTGAAAGTGTTGCACGGCGGTGACACTATCAAGGTGACATTTCCCTCCTTGAGGAGGTTGTAAATCTGATCCCACAGCGAGGAATCAGTCAGGTCATGTTGTGGGGACCTTTCAATGTCAAATTCATGCAACTCAAGCCGGACCCGTCCTGATCTTTCAGCCTTCGTCAAGAATGCCGCAATATCAGAATGGCGACGCTTCCCAGCAAACAGATAAACCACCCTCAAAAGAGGTGGTTGATCCGTTTTGTCAACATGTGCAGCCTTGCTGGGGGCGGCTGCACAATCATCCTGTCAAGCTGCAGACTGTGACTTGGTATGATCCACCGCCTTGTGGTTCCCGTAGCATCCTTTGACCCTGCATTGGTGGACCCTGCCGCAAGATCCATCACACTCTGAACTGTTCCATGCAAAACATAACTCACGTCCATCTGGGGTCCTCCATGCCAGACCCAAACCCTTCAACCGGGAATCCATGGTCTTCCCTTTTGATTTTCCCTTCGAAGACTTGCCTTTGCCTTTTGTAAAACCTGTAGACTGTTTTCCACTGAAACCACCCTTGCTGTTGTAACGTGGCCACTTGTGAGGTTGGTTCTGAGTCTCTGACAAGGCTGCTTTGAGGGCCACCGGAGTCGTGAAGTAGGCTTCTTTCAGATCAGGGTCACGAATCACTGCAAGCAACGACTCAGCCAAAGTGTATCCCTCCAGAACTCTTTTCATGGCCTCCTTCCTAAGTTTGTGCTCGTAAGCAAGGACCACTGTCCAGTCAGGCTTCACCTTCTGTTGCAAGGTCTCTGATGAGGCCGATGGTATCTGTATTCCAAATACACGATCCCCCAAAATGTATTCAGTGAACTTCAAAAATGGTTCGGCAGTCAATCCATGTAACCAGTGTTTTGCACGATACCTTGAAGCCATGCATAACCAAGAATACATCTCAATTTTCATTGTCCTCCGGTACTCCTCCGTTGTCGAAGGCATCTTACCCTTGGTCTTCGTCCTGGTAACCCTGATGTGCCCGGAGGAGTCAACTGCTGACTGAATCTGTGCATTCGTGGAAGAGTGCTTTGAAAGGATCTCATCTAAGGGTGCAGCTGTCGGCTCATTGCACTCCGTCTCCTCCGCCTTGATCGAGAGGTAGTCGGTGGATGGGCATTCCTGATCCCCAAGCGTTCCATGAATCGCCTCAACAGCTCTCAGCATCGCCTGTCTCTCATGAATCTGAAGCACTCGGGGTTGCCCCAACACCTTTGCCTCTGCCTTCAACTCGACCTCTTTAGAGAGATACTCTTTAGAAGTTTCCCATGCAGCTACTATCGATGCAACCTGTGAACGCCGCTCTGGTGTGTCCTGTGGAATTGCAAAGTCCTGCACACATGCAGTCCTGATAGCAGCTCGGTCATCTCCAAGGGCACTGAACTTCCTAAGGTTTCCATAGTGGCGCGCAATTGCAACCTGGTGTTCAAGACTCACTCCAGCTTCACCAAGAATAAACTGCAAGTCTGAATCCATGTGTGTTTGCACATACTGTCTCTGTGCAACTGGGTCCATGGCACCGCACGCCGCAGAGGCCAGTTGGCCCGATCAAAGTTGAAATGGAAACCGAAAACACAAATCATGTCAAACACAGAAACCCGACGCCTCAAAAATGGCAATGGGATGTTCAGAAACAAACCCTAGCCGCAAACCTGGCATTGGGAACAAATGGATGAATGCAAAAACCCTTCAAGTCAACTTCAACATCTGAATGTGAAGTATTGCGGAATGCTGTCATCCTTCCACAGATGGTACCCTGAGGTCTGAACCATCAAAAGATTCGGTGACATGTCACAACAATGCCCCAATCGTTCAAGTTGCGTCCAAACGCAAATCCCATGTCTGTGAAATGACGGCATCTTGAAAAACTGTACACCTATCACCTCAAGCCTCACATGATTGAGTCTGCGCTCAGAAGTTGAAATGAAAACCGACCTCGACACCTAAGAAGCCTGAACAAAAGGAACCCAAAAGACAGAACAACAAAAACGACCGACAGAAAACTCCCGGTGTCTCAACACCGACTTTTGCAACTGTCCGAACAGCGGCAATCACGCTGGTCCCTCTAATGGGTCCCCTTCGCCTGCATCACTGCCTGATGCAGTGGACGTCGAAGAAGCTGTCGAGGAAGATTGATCCCCTTGCTCCTTCCCACATTCTGTCAACATTCTTTTCTTACATCCCTGACACACCGTGTCGAAATCATCACTGTTGACCTGATCTAAGTGGACCACTTCGAAACACCTGTCAGGCTTCACAAAGCAACCACTGAGGTGCAAGCGCCTCAGGCATGTCCTCCTGGAAATGGTCACAAAGTACTTGGAGGCCCCATCACTGCTGAGGGCCTCCTTCCGTGCCAAAGTGGCAACTTTGTCAGCCAGGTCGATGTCACCAACGACATCCCCATCCAGTTCTGGCCAGTCTCCATCGACCACTTCCAATGTTGGGAAGACTCCACCAAGCGAGTGCGCTCCGGACCAGTCTCCCAAAACGGTGTGGCGCTTCCGAATCCGATTGGGATTTGCACCTGTTGCTTCGGCTGCGTCACAAAGCCGCTGGATGGCCTCATCCTCAAAGTAAGGCCCATTGGTGCCCTCAACCAGGCAGCGATTGACAGCCTTCTGAATCTTGAATACCACCTGTCTGGATGTTCTCACATATTCTTCCGATGCCACCATGCCCATGGACCAACGGCCAAGATAAGCCCTCTCGTCTCGAGAGAACCCTGCCACCGCCGCCACCGACGTCACAAAGTTGCGAGCACTGTGACCTGAAAAGAAACTCTCCAGTCCATCAGGCAGCAATAGGACATGTTGCATCAGCTCCCATCCAAGACCAGATCGTCTCGGGCAACCCAATGTGCTCAAAAGCTTTCCAATCAATGAACTGAGCCCTGCAGGCGTAACAAATTTCCGCCTCACCTTTGACCAATCTTTGGAAGGCTCCATCACCATGTAGTCCCGATGGAACTTGAATTCCTCAGCCTCCCAAATTGTGAACCCTGCTCTCAGCCAGTCCTCTCCAGACAAAGATATCGTCCTGAAGACATGGACGGCCACCTCTTTCTGGACCTTGTCGGGCCCCGTGGTCTTTGACTTCCCCAAGATCAGCTTCAAACCATAGTTCGAAAGGAAGGATCGGCGAGGGATGATTGCCTGCACATCATCGCATCTCATCGCCCCCCAAATCATGATCAAAACGATCCAAGCCAGGGCCTTTGCAAAAATGGGAATTGCCTCGCTCTGCTCGACAACTGTCAACTCCAATGCTAAGATCATTGCAACCGTGAACATCTCTGCCGGCTTTCGTGGTGCAGCGTCCTCACAAAGTTCTGCTGTCCACGACTTCACATGCCCCTTCCACAAGGGGTCATCTGAGATCCTCATCACATCTGGGACCCTACCCAACTGCTCCAACATCGCCAACGTGATGCTGAGCGACTCTGGGATGGTCCGCCCACATCCTTCATCAACTCGATGTTGAACATAGTCGATAACATCTTTGACCGACTTCGGGAACAAGTAGCCCCGATGAAGTTCAAGCCACCGCTCAAAAGGCTTCCAAATTTTATACCTTGCTTTCAAAGTGTTGGCACGGCGCGCAGCAAAGATGTGCCCCCAAGCTGCACCAGGATCATCCAATGTAGTGATGAGCCCCACCACAGGAGGCTCTGCATTGATCATCACCTGAGCCAGAAGGAGAGAGTACTTCCGTCTCTCGGTCTCGAATCTCTTAGACCTCACATCAGGTGGATCCTCACGATACTTCCGCTGCTTGCGCTTCGTATGCATCTCTAAAATGCACTGCACACTTGTCTTTGTCAATCTCTGAAACTCATCATGCAAATTGAGAACATTGGGCTGAGGCAAAACGAAAAGAGCAGATGAAACTTGTCCTCTCCTGAAACGCTTGAGTGGCCGACTTGATTCAACTTTCCAAGTCATCAACGCAGCGACAGAGTCATGCAATTCCTCATCAACCATAAGTGGAAATTCAGATCTGAGGAGATCACTGCAGTCCTGGTCATCATCAAAGGCAGCTTCCAACCGCCACGGCTGTGCAAAGACTCGCAGCAAGAAAGCCAGAACGCCTGGCTCCACCTGTGGCCACTCCAGTTCCATCTGCGCCCCCTGAAACTACGTCCAATTCATGAATTGGATTGCGAAAGCGCCCCAATCTACCTCAACTGAACAGGAGCCAAATCTCCAAAGAAAAATAGATGATTGTTGTAAGCATCCAATCCAATCATCCCAGTGATATTGCGTTCGAACAGGTGAGCACCAGTAAATGATCAACCTAACCTGCCTTGACAGAAGCGCAAGTTGATAAGCATCCAACTGAAAATAATGCCAGCAAATCGACTGAAGAAAATTTCACAGCGTAACTCAAAACATCAACTGACAAGAAGTTCCACATGTCATGACAAGAAATCCAAAACTGCAAGCGAAGCAAATGTTCCAGTGAAGCAACCACAAAACAGCGACTGAAAGAAACGTTCGGAAAATAACTTGTTGAGCAAAAGCCTGAAACTGCCATTGTTGGTACCATTGAAAGACAGCGTATAAAATCCAGAGATCCTTGCCAGAGCAATCCCCACCCTCCCACCCGACCATTACATAGTTTCACATAGACACACTGGACAAGTCCAGTGATGCATTGCAAGCGACTCGAAGGGCTCCCTGACTCTCTCTCCAAGCAAAAGTGTCGATACAACGCATTCTCATCTCCAGGGAACAACATTCCTTGACTGTCCAGAAAATTAATGTATCGCTGAAGTGAGTTTGCTCTCTTGATGAGAGTCAGAGGTGCCTTTGTGGCAAACACATCCCTCAGAACCCTCAATTGGTCAGGGACGTCTGCCAGCAATGACAATTGATCTTTGATTCCAATGCCAAGAGGAAAACGCAACACAATGTCATACCATCTCTTCATTGCAGTGTCCAGTTTGGCTTCTTGTGATTCAGTCCATGTAACTTCATCAACGTTTGTGACAACTTGTTGCCAATGGTTTGCAAAAGATGACCGCCTGAGCTTCTTGCTGGGCATCTCGGCATCTGCCACTGTTGCTGTCGGGCAAGCTGCAAAAACAGGTCTCAAAAATTGTGGACTGTTCGAACTTGTGGGTTTGAGAGAGCTGTCAAAAATCTGTTTCCAAACTCCTTTTTCCCAGGGCAGTTCAATGCCCACTTTCCTGTCAAGATTCAGCCACAATTTTTCAATGGTGACATCTGAGGGCAGCTCCGCATGGTCCACGACAACCTGACATTCCTCGGTCCTACCAAAGTCACCAAAACGGTCTGCACTGAAGTCACCATGCAAATCCCAAACCGTACTTTCCCCCCCCAAAAAGATGTTTTGGAGTTGAGGGCGAAGCTTCTGAGGGGCTGTCCATTAGGCCAGGGTCAACTCGGCAAGGTCCCTGTAACAATCGGAGATCTCCACTGCAAAGGCGAAGCAAGTGACACGCAACCTACCTCTGTCAGACCGATCCAGGAACAAAAATGTAATAAGATTGGACCTTGCACTGCCAAGACTGAAGACCACTGTACGCTGCCAAATGTCTGAGGTTTCCCAACGTTCAAAATCCTGTTCTGAAGTCACGTCAAAATGGGTCCAGTGCACAGGGAATTGATTGCTCATGCAAGCAAAAGCCAAATGATGAATGCAGCACCTGCGAAAAAGGCACAACTGATGGCGCTCACAAAATGAACCACTGTAACCGGGCTCTTGACCGGGCCACCAAGAACGACGGGGCTAGCAAAAGCAACACGGCCCCTACGACGCATTCAAAATTTCAAATGGCTTCCCTGATTGACAGAGTGGAAACTTTGGTCCACTTGAAGGAGAGGCGTGGACATAAATTGAGTAACAGTTTTAATCGGACAAGTTCGCCATGTTTGAACTTCCTTTGAAAAGTCCAGAACAGTTGAGATTAAGTTTCATCACAGTACAAGTTTAACAAGTTCTGTGAACAAAACGGTCTGCCAAAAAGCTGGTAACACAAAAGAAACATACAGTTTCAAGTTCACCTGTTTTGTTGGACATGTTTCCAAAAACAGGAAAAGTGAGCGCATACAGCACAAGACGTCTCGTTGTTTCTTTCAAACTTCACTTGGAAGGTGTGCAGCAGTTCCACTTGTTTTGCTGTACAAGCAAAACACCATTGAGCCCAAGAATAAGGCAATCATCTTTGTACCAAAGAGGACGTGCGGGTCATAGAATTTCTTGCAGAATGGCTGGTGGCACTCTTAGCACCAGCAAGACATGTCCTGGAAACCAGATCGCCACACCTCTCATTCATGTTGCTCAAGGAATACTGGTTCAGAGAACTCTACTTGGGCCTTAAGGTCACTGCCTCCTTTGACCGAACGGAGTCATACGTCCGAGTCATTGATGGACAGGTCCGATGCATCACACCGGACTTCAAGAACCAAGACCTCCATGTGGCATGGAATGTCCAATACGTTGTCATATTCGTCCCTGCATGGATGATTCCCCCTATGTACCACAGCCTACGCCGGGAAAGCGTCAAAAGCACGGACTCAGGAAGCGTGACAGGGGTCAAATCTGTTCGTCCCACCTGGTTCCAAGACACAACAGCTACAAGGGGACCTCCACCAAGCTCAGGACAAGGAACACCCGAACCCATGCATGGCCTTCGGCTCATGATCAAAGAGGAAGCGCTGATCATCAGCGACCAGCCTTCTTTCCCAGCGGTGGCAGAACTGGCCAAACGGGGTTTACTCTCCCCAGAACCATGGCAATGCAACCGACCACGTATCAGCCTGAAAACCTCAATTGACGTACCAATGCTGGGTGATATAATTGAACAAAATGGTGACGGGCTCCTCGAAGAGTCGCATATGCCAACTGGATGGCCCCTACACATAGATGGAGCTGTAAGACAACGATGTATCCACCGCGACACTACACTGCTAGAACTAGATGATCTGCTTAGCGAATACGATATGAAACGGGATTTGGCCGAAATCAACCGCAAAGCACCCCAGTGGTCGCACAAAGCAGTCTGGAACAAATGGTACATGGAACCGAAAGCAGGCCATACCTTAAGCCAAATGTGGATCAATGCGGAGGCAGCCATCACACAAAAAACGTCACGGTCAACTGAAATCCAGGACAGCGACCTACGCCGGGTAGCCTCAGCTGTTACCTCCTTGCCGACGCCACAAATAACTGACAGCCCCTTCCTCAAGGCACTCGGCACCCCAACGATTTGGACTGCCCCGGCACAAACAGGAGAGCTAGCCCAAAGGGCAGCTGAAGAATGGGAACGGAACGTGTGCGAAAACAAAGCTGTGGCAATCTTGAACAAAATGCAACAAGGCAAAACGACTCTCATCAAGAAAGACGGAGGAGAAATGCTCATTGCCATAGTGCTAGATAAGCCACTCTCAGAAGCCCAGGCGTTAGTAGATAACCCTGATACCTTTATGCTTGAAATTACGAAAATCATCCAAAACAAGCATGCGCATCCTGTTATCGCACAAATGCTCCACCCTGATGTGCGTGACGACTTGCCTCCTTCAGAATGTGCCCCTGCCTCATCAGAAAGCCAAAACAGTCATACGGAAACGACGAATCGCGCGCTGCCTCCAACGCAATTTCAGTAAGCCCTATATACGCTCTACCGTCAACGTGGGATACCCACGGCTGATGGTCCAACATCCCGCCCATGCCCAACCTGCACGTGCCTTCCTGCACCGTTCAACGGTCCTACTGACCAACATGGGATACCCATGGCTGGTTTGCACGCCCCTGCTACATTGCATCCAGTGTAATTTCGTAGTTGCCTTCATTGCCTTTTAATTCTTGTGATGGGTTGTAAGTAGGAGAAGGTTGGGGTCCTTCGCTTGCACCTGTTGGTAAGGGAGGGATGGTCTTGGGAGGGAAGGGTAACTAACTAGCAGTAGCTAGGATAGATGATGTCAAAGTACATCCGCGCCATGGCGTCTTTGTGTTCCTCATTCAGCGCTTGCTAGCATAATGGAACAGCACTGTCTTCGAGTGTCTTCGAGTGTGAGACCATGCAGCCATTTTGCAGACCGCGGATCACCTCCCTTTCTTACATTTGAGGCTAGCTAACCTGCAATGGAAGAGGCTGCTGTCAACCAGCAGACTGACATGCCGTACACAGCCCCAAGACACAGGGAACATGATCTGATGGATGAATCAACGCAGCCGCCGCCGGCATCAACGAGCCACAGTGAAGCACGCAACCTCCTTCTGCTGCAAGATTATGTTCGAAACGTTTCCCAAGCACAACTGATGCTCGAACAAACATCTGCTTCATTGCAGAGAACAGAAATTTTAACTGGAATCTTCAGCGAACATGACCTACGAACGCTGCGCACAGCTTGTCAATGCCTCAACAGCCTTCGTATCCGGGTTGAAGCCAGAGCGAACACAGTAGAACGTGCAATGATTGAGCAGCAGCTGCAGTTTATGCAATCAAGGGTGCAGCCAGTTCCCACCGAAGACCTCCGTACAGCTGACACCAGCTGCCCTTCCAGAACCTATGCCGACCATTTTATGTCGCAAGATCATCCTTACTGACCATTTAGAATATGAACACTTTGGTGCCATTCGATTACAACCTGCTGACAACCCATTCGATGAACACTTTGGTGCCAATCGAAGATGAGGATGATTGGAAACTTGCTCGACACTACTTCTCACCCTAGATCTTTCTCACCGTCGCTTTCTTTAGTGTATCACCACTTCAGTTGCTACACGGCGTTGCCGTTGCTAGCATCGAGGTGTTTTTTCATGTGAGTTGTCATGCCTTGAAGGCTTGCTCTATGTGATCTCGGGGATCCTGGCTGGGGGGATCCCTGGTTTCCGCATAGTGCTGTGTTGCTTCACTCACACAACGGTATGGCAATGTGATTTTTGTGTCTCTGTTTTCCGTTTTGTTTGGTTTCGCCATACCAATACTTGAGGTGATACAATGCTATCACCTCTTTCTCATAGCTAGTCACTGAACTGGACCGCCGTTCACTTTCCTCTTTGTGTTTTTGGTGCTTGTTTTTTGTTTGGTTGTGTTTTTGTGTGTTCTGTTGCTTTGGGTGTTTTCTTCCTGTTTGCTGTGTTTCTGATTGGAATCGTGACGGCTGCTGGACTATGTACAGGTCCCATACCAGTTCACTCTTGTGGCCCCCTACCAATGACGGCTATTTGTATGCATCAATTAGTTAATTTACCGGTTCTATGCAACATGCAATCGAACGTGTTGAACGACCTGGCGAAAGCCAAGAGGCGTTGGACGGAAAAAAAAACCTGGAGACTCATGAGTGTACCTCCTCAGTGTCAACATGATACAGAAAAAATGGTGTATGATCTTCGATTCTGGCATGATGACGCATGAAGAGAGTCACGTGCTTCGCTGGTTGAAGAATGGATTTTTATGCTAGACATACGCTTAGGTTGTGCGAGCATCTGTAAAAGGGTTGTCGGGCACATTCACTGGGAGTTTTTTTTTTGGCGCCGCAACATTTCTTTTCGTTTTGGACAGTTTGTGTCTCTTTTGACAGAGGCCATTTTTAGTTTCAATTTCTGGGAGACCGCTTGGTCTCGACATTCTCGAGATAGGCCAAAACTTCAGCTTTCACCTGGTCATACGTGGTCAATCTCGAAGCCTGCAAGTCCAAATGATCTTGCAGCTTGTTGGGACACATTTGCTGCAGACAACTCCTGCAGATGTCATCTTCAAGTGGTTTCTTCCTCCTGTCTTCATACTTTCTTTTCAAGTTCTCCCAACTCTCAAGCCCTTCTCGAAGCTTATCAAGACTGCATTGACTTGGATGCAGAACCTTTTTCAACAAGGCTGAATTAGCTTGAGGATTTTGAGGATCATATTTGCACAACAGTCGTCTCATGGCTTCTAGGCCAAAGTGGCTACCACGAGATGTGTTCTTGACAATTTCCAACGCTTCTCCCTCAGTCAATGATATGAGGGCTTGTCTAGCCTGAGCTGAAACAAGCTCGGCACCTTCATCAAAGTCTACTTCTAGACCTGACTCAGTGATCTCTTTGTCACACTGAGATTCAACTTGTGCCACAATCTTCACAGCATTCTTGTGGCAACTTTCAACCCAAGTCTTAAACTTGTACCACCAACTATCCCAAGTGCCTGATGCTCCAGTGAACTTATCAGGTTTGGGTATGCCTTTCAACTCTGATCTGTCTTTGTACTCAACAGACCTCTCAACATTTCTGTTGATCTGTAGCTGCTGGTTCATAGCCTCGGTCATTGCCTGATTCAGCTGCGCCTGACCCTGAGTCAATTGGGCCATCATCTGCATAACCATCTGGGACATGTTGGGACCGTTGGTCTGTCCTTGTGCTGGTGCTGGTGGAGTGCCTGGTTGCTGAGGTGGCTGCTGTTGCTGAGCCATCCTTAGTCGTTCTTCAGGTGCTTTGAGACCTGATTCAAGAGAACCCTGGGTCTCCAAAGGTACCCAAGAAGAGCTTGAGTGTCAACTTTTTCCAGTTGGCACGAGGTGAGCGCGCCAGAGCAGAACCAGCTCGGCGTCGACACCTACACATTCACAGCTGGGTATCAGAACCTATGCTCCGCTACCATGAACAGAGAATTTGGGCTCTTAAATCTGATGAACACTCCTGAGCACTGTTCAGCACCTTTTCACTCAGTTAGCTCGAAGGTTGCTAAAAGCACTAAAATGGCTAAAATGGCTGCAGCACATATACAAACATATGTACTACATGTAACATGGTCTATACTGTACACATATCTGATCATATATACATATATATATATCTATATATGTGTGTGTGTGTTTTTCTTTTTGGGCTCCTCCCTCGTCAGGCTCCAACTTCTTACGGTAATTCCTGACATCTCCATAGGTATGAGAGATCCCCGGGGATCCCTGTAGACTTTCTTTCTCATTTGTTTCTAGACATCCCAACAGATACCTGTAGGTTCCTTCTGGATTGCAAGGAACTGCCGGCTCCCACACCTTGAAACTCATGCTTCCCAACCTGGGAACGAAAGTTACCATTGCAAGGAATTGCCGGTTCCCAGAGGTTAGACCTCATGTTTTCCAACCTAAGCGGTTATCATTGTAAGGAATTGCCGGTTGCGAAAGCTTGAAACTCATGGTTCCAAATTCCAAACCTGAAAAAGCATACGTTACCAGTGGAAAGATCTGTTGATTCCCAAAAGTTGGAACTCATGTTTTTTAATGTTGTTTTGTTTTGTTTACTGGGCCGGTAACAGAACCTTTTGTTTTGCTTAATGGACCGGTAGTGGAATGTTTGCGTTTGACTGATGGGCCGGCATAAAAATGTTTTTGCACGAAAAGGGTCCATGTCAAAATGATATGAAAACATTTTCTTTACAACTTTATGGTTTTGCTTAATGGACCGGTACAGAACGCTTTGTTTTGCTTAATGGACCGGTACCGGAATGTTTGCGTTTGGTTCATGGCAAGCAACTGCCGGTTCCCAAAGGTTGGAACTCATGGTTGCCAACGTGGGAACCACAGGTTACCATTGCAAGGAACTGCCGGTTCCCAGAGGTTGGAACTCCTGGTTCCCAACCTGGGAACCATGGGTTACCATTGCAAACAATTGCCGGTTCCCAAAGGTTGGAACTCATGCTTCCCAACCTGGGAACCATAGGTTACCATTGCAAAGAACTTTCGGTTCCTACAGGTTGGGACTGATGTTTTCAACGTGGGAACCAAAGGTTACCATGGCAAGGAACTGCCGGTTCCCAGACCTTGAAACTTACGGTTCTCAACCTGGGAACCAGAGGTTACCATTGCAACGAATTGCCGGTTCCCAGAAGTTAGAACTTATGTCTTCGAAGCTCAGCGGCTATCATTGTAAGGAACTGCGGGTTCCCAAAGCTTGAAACTCATGGTTCCAAACCTGAAAAAGCATACGTTACCAGTGGAAGGATCTGCTGATTCCGAAAAGTTAAAACTCATGGTTCTTAATGTTGTTTTGTTTTGTTTACTGAACCGGTAACAGAACCTTTTGTTTTGCTTAATGGACCGGTAGCGGAATGTTTGCGTTTGGCTGCTGGGCCGGCATAAAAATGTTTTTGCACGAAAAGGGTCCATGTCAAAATGATATGAAAACATTTTCTTTACAACTTTATGGTTTTGCTTAATGGACCGGTACAGAACGCTTTGTTTTGCTTAATGGACCGGTACCGGAAGGTTTGCGTTTGGCTCATGGCAAGGAACTGCCGGTTCCCACAGGTTAGAAGTCATGGTTCCCAACCTGGGAACCAGAGGTTACCATTGCAAAGGTTCCCAGAGGTTGGAACTCCTGGTTCCCAACCTGGGAACCATGGGTTACCACTGCAAGCAACTGCCGGCTACCAGAGGTTGGAACTCATGCTTCCCAACCTGGGAACCATAGGTTACCATTGCAAAGAACTTCCAGTTTGGACCCTTTGGGTTTCCCTAGAAGCAAAACTACCGCTGCGCGCCCAAACATGTTTTTGCGCGCGAAAGGGCTGAAAAGGTCTTTGCCCCTTGGGCTCAGGGGGTGGGGGGGTGGGCTACCTTGAGTCCAAAACTAAGGTAAACCCTGTTTAGGTCAAAACCTAGAGCGCGCTACACTAAGCTCCTACAGTTTGGACCCTTTGGGTTTCCCTAGAAGCAAAACTACCGCTGCGCGCCCAAACATGTTTTTGCGCGCGAAAGGGCTGAAAAGGTCTTTGCCCCTTGGGCTCATCCCCCTCCCGCCATTTCGGCACTTGCAAGGGCAACTGCCCGGGCGCGAAACGCGCCTCGGGCCTGTTGGCAGCGAGCCCGGGCGACACAGGGCCGCCGTGGCACAAAATTGGGTCTTCACGTCGGTGCTAGGTCAGTGTTCAACATAGATGCTGCCATTCCCCGGGAATATTCCCGGTCTTCCCACAAATAGGAATGGAATGCGTCGCTCACCCAACGTCCAAACCTTCTCACAACAGATGCGTCTTTGAATGCCGTCCATAGCGCGCTTGCACCACCAAAACGTAATGAGTGCGAACCAATGGTTCCGCCCACACCACATTGGCAAGCGGCTTCTCTCAGCAGCATCTGAATCGCTTCCCTTTGGATTCCCTCTCCCGAGGGAGTTCTAAAGAGTGGCTCCGTGGCTTCGCAGCCGCCCAGATATCTCTCCGGAAATTTCTGGAACAGCTGGACAACCGACTCTACTGGGCAGACTTGGTTTCCAGTCCGGTAGTGATTGCGATTTGTCTCCAAGTTGTAATTGGCCTTGCTGCCGACGAGCTTGACCCGAACTTCGTCGGCCTCTGCCAGGTTGCTGATAGTGCACAGGTTACCATGGGAGTACAGCAGTACCTGGTGGCCCTTCAGGTGTCTCGAGAGAGGAAGGTAACCAAGGGGAAGGAATTCAGAGGCCCTCAACAGAAAGAAGAACCCAAGGCAGATCCCAGCCCACAGGAGCACAGACTCCGGGCTCGAAGACGAGCCACGGAGGCGATCATGCAGATAGTTGAGCATCCTGGGGGTCACTGGCGCCCTCCTTTCAGGAACCTTGTAACGCCTTCGTAGGCCTGCCAGTGCCATGGCAACTCTTCCTCGGCCTTCCAAGGGATCTTCCATGCCGAGTGAAAGGTGGACGCTGCGCACTGCGGCCAGCCGAAGCTTCAGCGTTCCCGGTGCGCGCCCTTCATTGCAGGCACAGTGCAGGAGAAAGTCGATGAGGAGTGTTTCTTCTGTCTTATTGCTTGAGGGGCCAGTGAGAATCCAACTGACTCCTCTACGAGCGCAAAAAAGCCTCCACCACTTGAGTTGAGATTCATAAGTCCGCCGGGTGGAGATGGCGAGGCGATCAAGAGCGACACGAATGGCTTCCTCGTGATAATCTTCTTTGCATTTCAAGCGTAGGCCCAGCTTGGGTCCAGTCGTCCCTTGCGCCGCCCTAGCAGCCTGAGGGCTACCCAGCCGCCTCGGCTTCTCGAGACTCTGTTTCTTACCCGTGGCTTGACTGGTAGGAGATCCGGCAGCCGCGAGGGACTCGTGGTAGGGTTCGAATCGGACCTTGCGGCCCCTAGGACCCCCCACACGGGTCTTTTCCTGACCTTCTTGTGGGTCCCCGCAAGGTTCACCCCAGTGCCAGCAGACCCCAGCCAGGTACAGACCCAGTGCCACCGCCAGCAAGAGCCAATGCGCGATGGCGTGATTCGTGTCCCTTTCAGCATCGTTGTTGCGCCCTGGGCCTCGTATCGAGCCACGAGACTGGGACGGTGCGGCAACTCTTGCACACTCTTGGCAAGGGGCGAATCGCACCACGTTCCTTCCTCGGGTATGCCCACACCGCGGTTTGTGCCAGCGGGCCCCGCTCCAGGTGGCTTCCACGCTCCCCTGGTAGTCATCGACTTCGGAGATGGTCACGCAGTCTTTGCATGCTTCAAGCCAAAGGGTAGAAGCATCCGTGCGGGGGCAACCTTCTTTGTGCCAGTTTGCTCTGCGGCGGTCAAGACCCCTTTGGGACGGGCGCGGGCTCCTTCGCCGAGGATTGTCCGGTGCCGGGCTCGAAGTCGAGCCTCGGCTACCGCGACGGTGGACCTCCGTGGCGCTACTGGTTGAGGCGTGCCTGCCAGCCGCAACTTCATGCCGGTGGGGGGCTCTGGGAAGGTTGTCCCTTGGCGAGAGAGCCAATGGGTCGGTCCTTGCGGGACTGTGGGCAAGGCTGCGTCGGCATGATCCCCAGGCAAGGCCTAAAAGAATTCCGGTGAGGAGAACGAGGCCGAGCAGAGCTGTCCCCTCGGAAACTAAATTTGGGGGCAACCTAGCCCCAGCGAGGACCATAGCATGGTCGTTCTCTTGCCCATGGAAATGTGCGATCGCGTGGTTGGTGTCACGCTCCGCATCATCATTGCGCGTGGGCGACAAGGCTCCCTCCGGCACAGCCCGAGCTTCCGCTTCCTTTGCAGCCCGGTTTCTCTTCTTCGTGGCTTTTCTTTGGCGGGAGTCCGGTGCCCTACGGTATTTGGGCGCCGCCCCCCTTCCTTGTTCCCTCAGATGTTCCCGAAACTCAGCTATCTCCCTCCGAGCCGCCTGCTGTCGTGCTTCTTCGGCTCCCTCGGGTGTTTCGATTGGTTCGTGCTTGGTGCTTCCTTCCGAAGGGGCGCCTCTCTGAAGTCCCTCCCTGTGAGCCTGGGCCCGCAAACGCGCCTTTTCTCGGCGGCGCGCCACCCAGACGCTGACTCCTGCTTCAATTTCCGAAGTGAGACGGTCCGAACTAAGGACCTTGGCGGTCTTGGAGGGTCGAGCTGGGTTGAATCGTTCAAGCTTTCTCATGTACTCGCCCTGGCTATCCAGAGTTTCCAGATACCGGGAGTCTTCTTCTTCACATTGGCGAACCCTGTGCGTCTCAGCTTCAAGGGCTTCCTTGATTCCTTCGGCGGCTTCCTTTCGCTGCTGGGTGAGGCGTTCCAGGTCTTCAACTAGAGCTGCTTTCTCGCCTCCCGACCCTTCCGCTTCCTTCAAGGCACTTTGGAGGTTCTCCCAGTTGGCAGTGTCGGCCTCAGCGAGGGCCTGGAGCAGTTTGACCTTTCCCGTGCCAAGCTTGAGACCCTGCGCCGGGACCAGTTTTCGCTCCTCCTGGGGTTGCCCGGGCTCTACTCTACCAACCGGCCGATACCTTGCGGGGAGCCCGATGGGCGAGTCCTCCTCTGAATCCTCTGCGGGCGGAGGTTTGACCCGTTCCAGGGGAAGGCCCTCGGGTTCCGCACCCTGCTCATGTTTGGGTTCGAGACGCCCTGGTTTGGGGCCTCCTTTGCCGGGTTCTGGATCCTGATGCTCCTTCACCAGCGTGGGTTTCCAGCTCGATCCGGCAGAGGTGCGCGAGGCGCGCCTCGGCAACTTCTTGCCTTTCTTCCCGCTCAATCAAGCCGGGGTTGAGCTTGATTTCCGCCTCGGCCGATCCTCGGTCGCCTTCTTTCATCACTGTTCGGGTCGCGGGTGCTGGGGGCTCTTCCGGGCCCGTGTCACTCTCTTCCGATAAGTTCCAATCTGCTTCGGAGAGCGTGACGACGGTCGGTTCCAAGGTTCGTGGGTCCACCTGGACCTCCTCTTCTCCCTCTTCCACCTTGAGCCCGGCAACAGCCGACGCCAAACCGGTCGCGGTCTGAGCAAGGCCCTCCTTTAGGTCCTGTTCCTGCTTAAGGCTGCCGGGCGGCCAGGCGGGGAGCCTTGAGCCAGAGCCTGCAGCTCCCGCGGCGCCTGTCTTGTAGGAGGGCACTGGCGACGCCTGCTCGGGTCGGGCTCGGGCGCGAGTGCTTTCCGAAGCGAACCAAAAATCGTCAGTCGTCCATGCGACGACCTTTCCCAAGGCTTCAGGCGGGATGTCGGTATCGGCCAGCCAGACGTCGTTACCCGTCACTCTGAAAGAAACTCCGGCCTCCTGGGCTTTCCGCGTATCGACGGGCACTCTCGTCTCCAGGTCGGCCCTCCACTTGTTTGATGCCCGTTCCGGGTCAACCAAGTGAACCATTCTGCGGCTTGCTGACAGCCCACTTTGCACAATGCTGGCCGTGTGCTTGTGGTATGAGCCATGCACAAGCAGGGCAGGGACTTCGGAGGGTTCGACCAACACTCCTGGTCCGACGACCCCTGGTATGGTGTGCCCGGACCAGGCTGCCACACAGCTCCTTCCGGTGCTCTCATCTGTTCGCACCACGAAGCGCTGTTTCCAGTTGCCTTCCACTTCGGCCCGAACCGCCTCCTCAGTGAGGTACCTTTCCGGCCATCGGAGCTTCGCACGGAGGTACCCTCTCAGGTGGTCCATCGTGACCCATCCATCCTCCGTGATGTGGCACTCGGCACTTCCTGCTTCGTGTCTGAGGCAGGAGGCGAGGGCTTTCGAGAACTGGGTACTCCAGTCCTCTTCCTTTTTCTTACGGCGCTTGGTGCCTCCGGCCCTCCGCTCCACCTCCCAACCTCTGCTTTGGAGCCAGGCCATGAGCGCCGCTCGCGCCTTATCTTCCCACGGGAGCGAACAAATTCCGACTCTTTCAGAATCTGAGTTCCCGGGCTCGAAGCAAGCCTCGGGAGTTTCGTCCGCCTCCCGACTTTCAGCCTTCGCCTCAGCAGCGCTGGACTGTTCGGGCTCAAAGCAACTACCGCTGGCGCCCCGATCCGTCCCCAGAGCGCTCGCCCAACGGCCCGCTACCAGAGCCAGGCTGCGGGGGGTACCCATGAGCCTTTCCAAGGCAAGTTCAGTGGAGGGGGTGTCCTTGGGATGTTGTTCTGCTCTACCACCTAACAACCTAAATGCCTCCCCGGGCGTGATGGTGCGCGCCGCGGGGCCATTAGCACTGTACCCAAGCAACAAAAGAGAATCTTTATTGTCATTACCCCATGACCCATGATGTAATTGGGGGAGCGGTTTAAAAGGGTCCCAAACATGACGCCTACCTTCGGGGGTTTGCAGAGTCCCTCGAGGCTTTGGAGTAGCCTGACCCAGGTGCGGCATAGCGCTGTCCAGCTTCAGGCGACCAGTTTTCCAGGTGGCGTCTGGTACCTTCTTGTCTTCCAACAACCATTCAGTGGGGTAAGTGTGCAAGGGTGGCGTAGCGGGTTCCGCGTCGAGCGTAAGACAGGGTGCTGGAGGCAGGCGCTTTTCTGCGGGAACCGCCATCAGTATCCATCGCTTCCACCAGCACTGATCCTGGAGAGTGCGGCCGCTGACTTGGAAGACACGGGTATGCCATCCTGCATCCTCCAGAATTCTTTCGGCTGCTCTGGGGCCATGAGAGGTGATGGAATCGACCCAGACTCCTTCCGGCTCCCACCTCACAGCAAGCTCGGCGAAGCGAGCAGCCGTAGCCACTTCGCCTCTGCCGCCTGGGTGGAAAAGGCACACGTACCGCTCCGGGGTACATTCTCGGTGGCTTGCCTCTTCCAGGGTGTGTCTCTGGACGATAAGCCCCTTGGAGACAAGCTCGATTTCATAAGGGCCGGCCTCTCCAATCTCAGCGCACACCAGACCTTCTTTCAACGGAAACGGGTGCTTATTCGGACCCTCTGGATGCCTTCGGAGCCCTAACTGGAGGGCTGCAGCCTTATCTCCATGGTCCATTCCATCCCAAAGGAGGGCCCTTCGAGTCCAACCTTTGTCGAGAGTCCCCAAGAGCACCTCAGAGAACGGGAGCTTACGGAGCCCATGTTCCTCCAGAATGCTTTGTGCTTCGGCACGCGTGAGGCTGTCGGCAACCTGGTTGTGGTACTTTATTGGCAGTTCGTACTTGCGGAAGTTATAAGTAAGTTGTGGTAGTTATAGCAGTTGTAGCACATATAAGTGAACTTATCGAAGTTATGGAAGTTATGTTTTCCTTGAAAACAGCTATGTTCCATAACTTCGATAAGTTTAAATAAGTTGTTCTAACTTCTATAAGTTTTTAGGTTTTCAAAATTTTGGTGTTTAACATTTTTCATTGCTTTGCATCAAGGTTCGCGTGTTTGGAAGCTTTGCGGTCCAGAGGACCGCATCTTTGCGACCCAGAGGACCGCAACCACGCGGTCCAGAGGACCGCGCTGTAGCCAGGCATTGCTTTCAAAGAAGGCACATATGAGAAAAAAAAGCAATGCTTTTTTAAGGACGCTAACTGTGGCAACGAGGTGACGTATGTAATCTTGTAGAGTTTGCTATAGTTTTTTATGTATCTTTTTGTATCTTTATGTATCTTTATGTATCTTTTTGTTTCTGACGTATCTTTACGTATCTTTATGTATCTTTCAAAACCGTTCCGGAAGATACGTACGTATCTTTACGTATCTTTATGTATCTTTCAAAACCGTTCCGGAAGATACGTACGTATCTTTACGTATCTTTATGTATCTTTTCAACCGGTTTCGAAAGATACATAAAGATACATAAAGATACCTAAAGATACATTAAGATACATTAAGATGCATGGATGATGAAACATGAGCTATTATTGAATTGAAAAATCTAGGCTAGCAGCATGTGACACACTTTCCTGCGGAAAATCGTTTCCGCAATGCTTTGCGCCACCAAAATGAAACAACAAATGCAAACAGAAGCTGCGCATCAGATCCAGTGAGCAACGCGAAAATATTGATTTTTCACGTGCTATATCGAAAATTTGACAGAAAAAACAAAGAAAAAGGGTATAATCTTCAAGTTTAGGATTTTTGCAGCAAAAAAAAAAGTTTTCATAACTTATATAAGTTTTCAGGTTTTGCATTTTTTGGTAAAAGGAAAAAACCAGCTGAGAACTTATTTTAGTTATAACTACTTATAAGTTGTTATATCTACAGTATCTATCTTATAACTTACCCTAACTTCATGCTTCCCGTAAGTATACTTATCGAAGTTGTAGTTAGTACAACCATAGTACAACATACTTATAAGCAACTTATAAACAACTTAAAGTTCAGCAAGTACGAACCGCCAACAAAGTATGTCCGAACATAGCTCGCATGCAGCCTGAACCCTCCGACAGTTTCCAAGGCTGCGAGCAACTGCAGCAGGAACCTTGCCGCAGGGGGCCCAGCCTGTCTTTTCTCAAGCCAGGAGATAACGTTCTGGTTGTCCCCCGCGTAAATCACAATCTTTCCCCTCCAAGCAGTCCAGCGGGTGCAGGCGAGTGACACCACGGCGAGGAGCTCGGCGAGTGAGATCAGAAGACCATCTTCGGGATCGGTTCGATCCTCGGAGTACGGTCCCGACTGCTCCTCGTCAGTTCCCTCTTCCCCTCCGCAGAAGTAGCGGATCCGTTGCCAAACGAGGCTCGCGGGCTCGACAATTGCTACCTTTCCATGCCAGTCAACTGCCGCCACCCTTTCTGGAGTGGCATCTCCACAGGCCCAAACCACCTGGGATTGCATCCCTGGGAAGGAGAGCAGTTCCGAAATCGAGAGGGCCGCATTGAGCGGGTGAGTGAACCGTACCTCCCAAGAGGCGCTGACGTCCACCAACAAACGTTGAAGCTCAATAGCCTCCCAAAATCGGTTCCAAGTCTCTCTTTGTTGCTTCTCATCCCCTTTGGCTCGAGCCTGGCCCTGCGGGTCCGCAGGGCCAAGGAGGTCATTTGTACACCCCAAATACGGGCTCAGGCCCGGGAGCACCGCCAACCAAAACTGCTGGTTGCCTCTCAATTCTTGGATGAGGCGCAGCGAGACATGAGTGCATCCACTGTCAAAGTCAGGCAAGTGCAGGAGGTGATACGCCTTCTCCAGCTTGGCACTTGGCAGGCTTCGGGTGTTGGTTTGGGTATCGTAAATGAGCCCCCAAATAAGTTTGCGAGTTTCCAACCGTCCCTCAAGCCAATCCTTTCCTTCGTTGATGCTGGCATCCCCAAGAACAGCACGAGTCAGATGCTCCGTCAGTGCCACCGAGGTTTCCGGTCTCAGCCCAATCTCGGGTTCGATCAGCACCGTGTCGTCCATGAGGACGAAAGAATGGTATGGGACTGTATCCTCCCACCTGGAGTTTTCGGGCGCGAAGGCTTCGTGAGCCAGTTTAATGACCCAAGCATAGTGCATGTACTCTCCGGGCGCACCGCACCAGCCAAAAGTCAAAAACCCATAGACTATGGTGATGCCTTCCTGAGTATTGCTGTATTCAGCTGGAAGATCTGCAGCGAAAAGCTTGGAGTCCTCTAGCCGAACCGGGATCCACTTGAAGGCTTCGGATACGTCCTTTTTGCTGAACAGGATTCGGATCCTAGGGTACCGAAGCTTCCACCACAGTATTGCTCTGGCGACCTCCTGGTGTCGTGGTTGGAGCGCAGGCGGGTGCCGGGACTTGTGACAGTACCTGTTCACCGGCGTGGCGTCCCAGATGACCCTACCCTTATCGGAGACCGTGCGGTCTGGATTCATCTTGGGGACCCTGGCCATTGGGACTGACACAACCCCTTCCAAGCCCTTGCCGGTGTCGAAGCAGAGCAGGGAACGGCCTTTGCTGGCGTCGTCCCAGAGTTGCGCAGCAGCTTCGTCGAGGTGTTCCTTCAAGCTCGGGTGAGGCGCACTCTTGGTCCGAGTAGTTTCCTCTAAGTCAGCAGATGCCTCGACTCCCCAGATAGCCACATGCCTCGCCCTTTCTAAAACTGCCGGGTGAACCAGCCCCTCAAAGAAGTCACTATGCAGACCAGACATGTGATCACCTCGTTCCTGCACCCAGACCCTGCGGATAGCCCGGAGGGCTTCTTGCCATCCACCGGCTGCTGCCAGAAGAGCCGATCCTTTCTGAGCAGCAGACGCGAAATGTTCAGCGGAGAAAGCTCGGTTTCGGAAGAAATCCAGATATTCCTTTGTCGCCTGCTCGACTGCCGGGTCTAGCGGCCGCGCCAGGGGGCCTTTCAAGCCATGGAAGTCTTTGCCCAAGTTAGAGAACGAAGAGGCCCCTCCCCCCCCCGAGGAAGTGCAGCCCCCTTGAACCACAAAGGGGGCGCCCCCCGCCCGTCGCAAGCCGGCGCCGGGCGCGAAACACGCCTCAGCGCCGTCGAAGAGGACGGAGGCGAGGGGAGAGGAATGCGGCAACTCCGATGAGGGCGACCCAACGGCAATAGCCAGCGCCGAAGAGGTGGTTTTCAGGCACAAGTAGGCGGCCGGGGACGGTCCACAAAGCGCCGCAGTCATGGGGTCAACGGGCGAAGCTGGAAGGCGAACCCGGTGAAATGGCGAAAGAAGCTGGATGGCCGCGGGATCTTTCCACACGGGACTGGTCAGAGGGTGAACAAGAGAAGTGCCCGGGCAGGTTCAACTGATGCTGACCAAGCTCAAGCGTAAATTGCAGGTGCTGGTGGGCAGAAGACCCCAAGGCGCTGGTGGAAGACTCAGGCCCGCGGCCGAGGCCCGTGCGGGGCAGGAGGACCCACACGTGGCGAGGGCGCAAGAGAGTGAGAGCTGCGCGAAGAAGAGAGCGCACACGGCCATCGCAGAAGTTGCGGCTAGTGGCCGGACCGACAAAAAGGGCGGCGCCAACCGGCGCGTCCGGGGTGTTGTCCCAACCGAGAGCGTCAACGTATATCCCCAAAAAATGGAGCGGTTGGCCTGGCTCAGGGAGTTGTTGGCCAGGGAAGAGCTCCTGCAGGTCCTCGCGGGCCCATTGTTCGGAGGGGGGTTCGTCGACTTCCCACCAAGATGCTCCTGCCCGGAAATCTAAGGCAGCCGTCTCAGCGGGAAAAGGGTACAAGCCGAACACCCCGGTGGTGACGCCGGTACGGCGCATAGGGTCATCTTGGCAGCGCGGGCATGGTTTCGGGGCACGGGCGCGATGACGCGCCCCGTGCTCGGCGGCCGCTTCCAGGTGGACTTCCCAGCCAGCAGCAGTGACAATCCGCACGTTGTCCGGGATAGAAGTCGTGACTTCCGGGAGGAGTAACCGCATGTGGCCCTGGTGAACCAGGAGCCAGATAAGGGACTTCGGGTCGGAACGACTGTGGGCCCCCTGGATGACTTCGCAAGAGGTGCGGTTCCAAGCGTCCATGCGGACAAGACAAAACGAGACGTCCGCGGCCTCTGGCAAGGGAAAGGCCGCCAGGCACCGGTAATCCTTGTCGTGGCCGAAGAAGAGAGCGTCGTGCACGAAGATGCGCAAGTCGTCTTCAGCTTGAGTGCAAACGTCAGGTTCCGGGCCCAAGTTGTCCGCGCAAGCCATCGCCAGGCGGAAAGTTTCCTCCTGTAAGGCTGCCGCTTTGAGGCGGACCTCGGAGAGAGCAGGCACACGATTCATGGTATGGGCCAGAAGGCCAGCGGCCACATGCAGGTAGAAGCACTGTCGGGGCTCCGTCTCTGGTTTGGGGCATTCCAGAGGTTGCAGCTCAGGATGCACGGGTGCGAGCTGGTCGCCGTAGTCATAGACCGCATGGTCACCGTCTCTCCAGCGAAAGGTCGCCCAAGAGTACCCGTCGAAGCCGTGTGCTGAGAATTGCCCCAATGCTCCGCGTCCCTCTCGCGACCCAACATGCGTGTCGGGGTGATTATGGAGATAGTCAGTAGCTTCTGAAGCAAGTTCTGCACTGCCTTCTCGAATAGCGTCCTCAAGGAATTCTTGAACATCGTGAGCGTTTGGAGCCCGGTCATTGACGGCTGTCAGCCGGTTGCGCAGATAGATGCCCAGGTGCTGGGGTAGATCTGGGAGAAGGCCGCAGCTGTCAATCTCGTCCATGCAGTGACGCTTGGCTTGGATCATGGCAGAGTCGGGTGGCTCCCGGTAAGTGACCGTGCGCACAGCGGGGGGCGCGTGGTCGAGAGTCCAACTTGCAGCAGCTTCTCCTGTCATAAGTCGAGCAAGGGGATCTTCCATATCAGTGGCGGCGAAATTGGCTAGCGCCGCTGGCGCTGGGGTCCAGCCAGCTCGGGTGTCTTCCCGGTATTGGGTCGAGGCATCCTGAGGAGGAGGACCCCCGGTCCGCTTAGCCATTTCTTTCGCCCTTTTGCCTTCCTGAATGTTGGACTCTAGCTTCTGGGCTTGCTCCTTTCGGATGGATTCGATGGCAGCGTCCACCTGGTCTCCTCTGAGTTTCGGACGGGCGGGATGCCCGCCTCGTCGCAAGAGTTGCATCTGCACGCTCCAATCGAGAGTATCCCAGCGTGGCACGTTGCCATGGTGCGAATGCGGGCAATCTTTTCCCTTGTTGCATTTGCGGTGGGAAAAGTGATCCCAACACAGATACTTCCCGTCTTTGTCTTTCGGGCGGTGATCCATGGAGCGGCCCGCCTCCTTGCTGGTCAAAGCATTTCCCAGGAGGGGGGCGGGTTCCTTGACGGCGGTGCCAGCGCCCGGGGCACTCCCTTTGCTTCCAGCCCGTGAGTTCCTAGGGTTGGGAGCGGCCGGTTGCGCTTTGTCTGGTCCGCCGATATCTTCAGCTCCAGCTCGTCCGCCAGTGAGTGGGGACGGTCTCTTAAGGGCCATTGACCAGCAAGCACGATCCAACATGCGCTGTTGGCGAGGAACAATATCCGTTTGGAAGTACTCTCCTGGTGCCTGAAGGTCGAAAGTTTGAGGCAGCCGGAGCCAGGGTTCGCCATTGTCCCCGGGGGAGGTGGCGAAAAACCGAAGACGGTCAAAGCTAGGGCTCTCGTCTTGCATTTCCCGCCTGGCTCTTCGATCGAGCGCTCTTAACTCTTCCGTGAAGCGAGCCCAGAGCTCCTCCCACACACTCATGACCGAGTGCAACGGCCACGCATGGGCATATTCTTCCCCAAACTTAAGGAGTTGTGCCGCAGCCTTCTCCCAACTGCCATAGTACTCTGCCCCCAGGATACATGCCATGGCCCAAGCTTGGCGTAGAGCATTTCGGTACCAATTGGACAGAGTAGTAGGGTTCCGCGCCCGTTTTTCCAGCTTGTTATCCCCAGGCGGGCTAAACAAGTCAAACTCCTCCTCCGAGGTCTGGGCAAAATCGGCCACAGTGAGGCAATAGTCAGGCGGATTACCTTTGCCCCCGAAACTGAGGGAAGCGGCCCCAAAGGCGATGCGGTTGGTAATGTTCACCGGGAAGCTGATTTCTCTCAACAAGGGCCGGTTCTGCGTCGCTACAGACTTTAGGGCGTGGTACAGCTCCTTTCCGACCGTGGCTTCCCCAAGGTGCACCGTCAGCGTGTCGCACCCTCTAGCCAGGTACAGCATCCTCTCCTCTGTTCTGCCGATCGAGGACAGCTTCCCTCGATCTTGGGCAGCTGGGTCTTCCTTCGCCGCCATAACTTTTGCGATTGTCTGCAGAGCTTTTGAAGTTTCATCGAGGGCCGGAGGTCCCGGATCAGTGTAGGCTCCAGCATGAAAGGGTCGGAAGGCGTGTAAACCCTGCATCCCTACGGAACCTGCTGGACCGGGCGTTCCTGGGAAAGTTCCAACCGCTCCCGGGCTCGAAACAAGCCTCGGGCGCGGCAGGACAGAATCGATCTCGCTCTTGGGGCGAAACAAGCTCGCAGCGAGCTCACCGGAGGTGCGAGGACCCGGGAAATGGCTCGCAGGAGCCGAGGCCGGCCTTACCAGCCGTGGGGCTGGCGTGTCGGATTTCTCTTCTTCTGTAGGCCTCTCCAACGTGGCTTCCAGCATCCGAGTTACGGGGTCATATTCTGGTTCTTGACAGACGGCAGGGGGATGCGCAAGGCGGTTGAGTGCTCTCCAGGCGGGTGATTCCCGCGTTTCCAAGTCTTTGTGTTGTTGCACATAGGCCTTCGCCAGGGAAGTCAGCGAGTCCTGGAACCCAGGATGCTTCCACTTGACGTCCCCCGGGTTCCTGGCAGAGAGGACCTGATACGCTTCCTCTGCCTCTTTGCCCTGGAGCAGCTCGACCAGGAGCTCGGCTAGGTCTGCCTTGTCAGCCACCGCACCCTGCATCGCGTTGACTCCTGGTCTCTCTGGTTGACGCGCGGTCTCTGACCTTTGGTCGGTATCTACCCGGGGCGGTGAAGCTTCGCGTGCCCTAGGTGCGGCTTTGGCCCGGGGCTTCTCCTCTGTGGCTCCGTGCAACTTGCAAAAGTTGACCCCCTTCCTGGTCCCTGTGACTGGATGCAGGCACCCCTGCACCGCACATGCTCGACCCAGAAGCGAGCCCTGGTACATGGACCTGTGGTACTCACAGGCATGAAAGCAGGGATCGCCGCCTTCAGTGGTTGGTAATCCATCAAGACAGCTGTTGGATCGGTCAGCTTGTAGAAGCACAACGGGACAACCTCGGGCCACGTCTCTGCATGGTCCAGCAGCAAGAGGAACTACCTTGCCGTAGTTGTCTAGAGCGACCTGGTCCGCTTGACAGTGCAGCCCCGCGGGGCCTAGTTCCGCCTCGGATTCTGTCTCAGAATCTTCATGTTTTTGGCCCTGGTACCCTGCGCCGCGTTCCGGGCGAGAAACTCGCCTCGTACGGCAACACCGGCACCACAGACACCAGCACCAAGCTCGGCCGCATCTCGCCATGCTGCGGCCGAAACAGCGGCACCAAAGTATCCCGCAAAAGCTTGTGATCACCGCGCACCGTCCCCAGGGGCCCCTTCCTGCTAGTTCCTGCAGGTTGACCTCCCGGTCCTGCGGGACCGTTGCGCTGGCCCTAATATGCACCTGCGCAACTTCAGGGGCGGTGCAAGGGTCTTGAGCGCACAGGTGGACAGTGCAGTTGGCAGTCTCTATGTGGTGACGGAGGTATCGATGCGACGAGGCTCGAACCTCTTCACACTGGCAGAGGAATCCGTGCCGATTCGTTCTTCCCCTTATAGTCCCGTGACGAAGCCTCGCTACAGCAGCTCCGTCCGCAACTAAGAGGTCGAATGGCTTCTGATTCGGTCCTCTTCCCCGTACCTCGCGCTGGATGTACAAGGCGGACCATGGTGTTCCTGTACCCGGCCCTTTCCAGACGGGTATGAAAGGCCTCTGCCCCTGCAAGCGTGTCACATCGCTCCAAGTGCCTGTCCCTTGGCAGTATCGCCAGAGGGCCCTGGAGTGAATCCAAGTCGGATGAATGACCCACGTGTAGGTCCAGACAAGCAACTGGAGCAAGAAGACGAGGACCATCCCGGTAAGGAGCCAATAGCTCCATCGGGCTGCTAAGCCAATTGAGGCACAAAGGGTCCCACAGTAGCTTATCCCATTCTCTGCAACCTGCAACAGCATCCTTACCCACATTTTGATCCACCAGCTGTTTCCGACGTAATGGTAGGCGCCATCCCAGGCGACACTCCACCAGTCCCAAGTTCTGCTGCTTCCAAGCCCAGGGTCCGGGCGGGATGGCCCGCCTCGGTCCCTTGGGCCTGCTTCTGTTCGGTTTCTAAGATCGTCGGAGGAGTTGGTACTAGTCAGCAGTCCAAGCTGCAACAAGTTCCATCCATTTGCCGTGGCTGACGCTAGGAGGTAAACGACCCCTAGCGCGGCCCGAACCATGGCCCCCGGCTACCTTGAGTCCAAAACTAAGGTAAACCCTGTTTAGGTCAAAACCTAGAGCGCGCTACACTAAGCTCCTACATTACTTTCACTAACAAACCACAAGACGGTGGGAAAGGATCAACAACGAGCTACGGAAGATTTGTCTATACTAGACAAACCGCAAACCCATCAACGTTCATCCGAACGATTTCAAACTGAAATCACCGTAGAATAGAAATCACATATAACATGAATATGACCATATATGTAAACATATAAGTAAACCTATATACTCATATAAAAGCAACCCTCGCTATATCGCCGATACGCCAAACGACAAACAACTCGCAAAACACCGTCTGCAAATGCTGAATCATCGAAAAACAAATGATCACGGTGAAATCCGTTGCACTCTTTTTGTCGCGGTCTCTTCTTGATTGCACAGTCGGGGCAAGGTCTGCGAAGTTGAATGTTTCAACCCGGGCATCGACAAAACATGTTTTTGCGTCACCGGAAATTGCAGACTTGGTTTCTGCTCTGGGTCAAGTTTTCCGGTCCTTTGTTTCCGGAGCACCCGTTTGAATACCCCCAGCGTTTGGGTGGGTGAACGCAGTGATTTAGGGTGGGTAACGCTGCCCTAAAAAAGGGTGGAATTCCCACCCACCCTCCCTTGAGACGGAAAACATCATCATAAAAACACATTGATTGTGACACATGTTGTTCACACAGGATGTTTCCATTACGACGTTGGGAGAAAGGGTTTTTTTTGTCTTGTTAATTTGTTTCCATGTTTAAACAAATTTTTGTTAGCGTGAAAATAAGGCATTCATCTTTGTTACACAAAGAGCCATTGCTTACTTTCACTAACAAACCACAAGACGGTGGGAAAGGATCAACAACGAGCTACGGAAAATTTTTCTATACTAGACAAACCGCAAACCCATCAACGTTCATCCGAACGATTTCAAACTGAAATCACCGTAGAATAGAAATCACATATAACATGAATATGAAGATATATGTAAACATATAAGTAAACCTATATACCCATATAAAAGCAACCCTCATACTATATCGCCGATACGCCAAACGACAAACAACTCGCAAAACACCGTCTGCAAATGCTGAATCATCGAAAAACAAATGATCACGGTGAAATCCGTTGCACTCTTTTTGTCGCGGTCTCTTCTTGATTGCACAGTCGGGGCAAGGTCTGCGAAGTTGAATGTTTCAACCCGGGCATCGACAAAACATGTTTTTGCGTCACCGGAAATTGCAGACTTGGTTTCTGCTCTGGGTCAAGTTTTCCGGTCCTTTGTTTCCGGAGCACCCGTTTGAATACCCCACTGACTCAAGTGCTCAGGAAGGACGACATGACGGTGCTTGGCGTTTGCTAGCCACGGAACTTGGAAGTTAAGTCGTGAGGCATCATCAGCAGGGTTGCTTATGGACGGTACTCGTCCAAACCAAGGAAGCAGCACAAGAATCTTCTCGTACTTGACAAACTCTTTTGTAATACCCATTGCAATTCCCGTTGCACCATCAGCTCTCACAAGCGCGCTGTGTGCTGCAGTGTTATCCAAATAGAAGACCACATGACAACCGCGCAGTTGTTCGGTCCAGACACGTAGGGCTACGAGAGTTGGTAGAAGCTCCAATTCATATATAGGATGATCAGAAAGTTCTAGGAATTGACTAAGCAAAGATTGGGGAAGCGCCAAACCAAAAAACTCTAGAGATCTTCCCCACTGGTCCACCAGCAAACCTCCAATGGTACCTGGTGTTTCTGATGTAGGCTCATAGGCGCCATCCGTGAAGACATAGTAAGTGTCGCAGTGGGATGTCGAGACCTGTACCGGTCTAGCACGCGTCAGCTCATCAACCAGGCATTGCAACGCCTTGGTTAACTCCTCTGTCTTGACAACTGTCTTCGATTTCATTCTCGCATGCCGGGATACTACGCGTGCCGCCGAGTTCAGCTCCCTGCCAAAAATATATGAATTGAACCAGACCAACCTGCCATGCAGTCGTTCAAGCTCTTTGACCTCCACCCTGTCGGCTTTGATCAAATCATTCAATGACGCAAGCAATTCTGTTGTTCTTTTCTCTGTGTGACCCAACTTGAACTCCCCTTCAGTTGAACCTGTTAGGTCCACCGCAAGGCCCAGCGTTTTGAACTTCTCGTCAAAGTCCGGCGCTTTCGGTCCCGTTTCTGTAAACCTCACACCTAACAGTTTCAACAAGGACTCAACACAAAAGGTTACTTCTGGTGCTGAATAGCAGTATAATCGTCAAAAAAGTTGGTCCAAACAAGGTGAAGGCCCACGGTTCCAATGTATTTGATTGAAGCAGCTAGGCATAAAAATGGCGAAACAGAAGCTGTTGCCCCAAAGGGGAGCGACTGCACGGCAAAGAATTTAACGCCCCCATCGGGATGTTTTTGTGCGATTCTCAAAGACTGTTGGTGTTCCAGGTCCACTCCAAATTGCTTGTACGCACTTTTCAAATCAAATGTTCTTCCAACCAAACGGGAGATTGCTTGGCCAGTACCCCTCTTCATAGCAACCAGAATGTTGGCAGCTAACTCATCCACCGATTCAACTCTCAGTTTCTCTGCTAGCCCAACTGTTTGGTTCACCCCTGCTGCGGTGAAGTCATCAATCAAACGTAACTTGCCGCCTTGTTGCAAAGGAAAACGTTTTGCCACATGCACTGTCCGTAGGTCTGCAACTTCACAAGGCACCAACCAACCATTGTCAATTTCAGTTTGAGTTTCCTCCCATGCGGGTGCATCAAGTTCGGACACCTCAGCTTGCATGAGTGAATCCACTACAGCGTGGTTCAGGCCCAACGCAATGCCCTTCAGCTGTTTCACTGTAAGTTCAGGTGGTCGTACATCCGGCTGAAAAACACCAGATTCTTTGGCCCAACCAGTCATTGGGAAGCCCTGGGTCACCTCGTCCATGATTTTTTGCATCTGCATATCCAAGGTCCGTCAGTATTCTTTCCAAAGCAAAATTCTCTTCCCACCAAGGACACTACGCAAGTGATCAGGCAACTGGCTGTGCAAAACAGCCTCATCCCGCTGCAGTTCTTTCGCTCGTTTCAACCATTTCCTCAGGAAGGCCATTCTTATTAGTGATAAGTTTGCTGCGTCACCAAGCAAGTAGTCAATTGCCTCAGATGCTTCGTTATTCACACGAGCCATCAAAAAACGTGGATGACCCAAAGCGACTGCCGCTTCAATGAACTGTTGTGGCTCCCTTGGTACTCCAATTTTCAGTAACTCAAAGGTTTCACCCTCTTGTATGTTTGATGCCATTTTGGGGTTCACCATTGCCATGAACACGTCCCGCTTGAACCCCTGCTCCACCTGACGTGCAAGTATTTTGGATCCCTTGGGACAGAGATTCCCTATAGCAAACATGCGCGCCTCTTCCAAGTTCACGGCCACGTGCAAAACATATCCAAATTCAGAAATGGCTGGCCGCAGTTTCTGTTGTCGCGGCTGTGTTGTAAAAATTTGCCGCTTGCCCACTGATCCATCATGTTGCAATTGTTGTACCAAATCTTCATCAGGTCCAAGACCCCTTACATAGGCCTCCTGCAGAAAAAGGCTTGCCATCCTGACACACACAAAAGCAAGGGGTATGCGGCTTCCTCCTTTGTTGGATATATCCACTTCCCGTCCAAAAACCTTGGACGCCACGACTGGTGTACATGTTTCTTGTCACATTCCAGCGCCAGCGTTGCAAACATGTTTGTATTTGGGTCCCTTGGATTAAAAGACCATAATTTGGTGGCTTTGTCACGTTCGCCACCGTGCATACAACTGTGGAACACTGCAAAGTGGCCCTGAGGGACCTTGTTGTACAACCGTTTCATCATTGACGTAAGCCAAAACAGAGAATTTTTGGGGTTTTCGATGGAAATGGAAACCCCCAATTCCAGAAGAATTAAAATGGGGTCAACTGCAGCATTGTATGAAGCGTTCGCCGCTTGTACTCTGGCCTCTTCTGCAACGCTCAAGCCAGATAAACCATCAGGCATGTCCTCTGAACGTAATGGTCTGGGTTGCCTGTCCTTTGGAAGGCCAGGTACTGGCCGCGCTCTGGCCCGTGATGCAGTTCCGCAGCTTGGCGCAAAATGCGCATGCACCAACCTGTGCCTTTCTGATCGCACAAGCTTTTCCAATGTAGCAAACTGTTCTGTGTCACACAAGTCATATCTTGCAACAACTGCATTCTCTGCCCGTCTGACATCTTTGTCAACTGAAAGTGCCTGCAATCCGAGGCCACGACATGCTTTGCTCAGCCGGCAGGTGCCAGCGAAAATCTCCAGAACCAAACCTGTTCCCTTATTGCACAAGTCATCCCCACTCAACTGATGACTGGAGGTTTGCGTCTGATGATTGGGAACGGATTGATTGCTGTCAATGCAAGAAAAATTGATACTAACCTGTTGTGCAGATGGAAGGACTACTGTACCAGGCCTCACTTCTGCAGCTTCAGGTCTCGTTGTCTCTTGATGTAGTCAAGTTGGACAGTCAGCTGCTCCATGTCCAGACTTACCACACTTCATACAAACATGCATGCCAAATCGACAGCGCCCATTCTTCACTGTATTGTTGCAACCCTTCTTTAGGTTGCGATGCCAACAAATGGGTTTTCCGTCCGGCGTCTTAGATGTCAGACCTTGCAACTCGCTGGGCATCTGAGGTGTAGGCTTTGTAGGGCTGTTCTTCGGGCGCTTCGGGTTTGGCTTATCTGCTGAATCATCGGCGCCCCTTTTCGGAGTTGGCTTCGGGTTCACCGCCGGCTGTCTTGGGTATGCAATCAAATGGACATTGATACGTGGGTCATGCATCAACCTTCGAAAAGCATGGCTTTCAGTGACTCCGTATGTTCTGCTGCAAGCAATGAAAACATCTCCCGGTCTGCCTTGAGGATTTGGGTCACGCTGACTGTTGAGTAATTGGCAGGAGCATCTGTTACCAACACTGTCATCAACTTGTCCAA